GCTTGAGCCCAGGAGTTGGAGGTTGCTGTGAGCGTGATGCCTTGGCACTCCACCCAGGGGGATAGCTTGAGGCTCCGTCTCACAAAAACAAACAAACAAAAAAAAAAAAAAAACTGTTTCTAAGAGGTGATGGGGGTACAGGGATTTTCTCTTGAGTCTTTGTGAAAGGAAGGGGGAGGATTCAACCAGAGTTGTTTTTACTTTATTCATCTTAATTAATAGGACATATTACAAGTGCTAATATGTCCAACTTGGGCATTCTGTGTTCTGGTAATTATGGAGGATTTGCACCTCCATGTCTTTGTACATTTTATTTCTTCTGCTTAGACAGCAGTGTCCTTCCTTTGCTCAGTTCCTTCTCCCCACCCTCTCCTCTCCTTGTTTTTCTAACATTCCCTATTTTTCTCTCTTTTAGCTCATATGTCATCACTGCATTCTCTCTGAGCCATGTCCTTTCCATTTTCTGCTTTCTCCCAATTTAGCAGTTCCCTTCTTTGAGCTCTTACTAGCATTTTATCTATACTCTTTATAGCAATTATATTGTATAAAAATTACTGGTTCTTATATAATTCTCTACATCTTAAATTGTGAGATCTTTGCAAGAAGGGAGAATCAAAGGTACAAAGACACTCATCTTTGTGACCACAGCGGCTAGAAGTGAAAAAAACAAAGGAAGAAAAGAAAAAAACCTTGTTAATCTTTTTGTTGCTTGTGTGTTTGTTTTTTGAGACAGGGTCTCACTTTTGTCACCGTTGGTAGAGTTCTCTGGCGTCACAGCTCACAGCAATCTCTAACTCTTGGGCTCAAGCGATTTTCTTGTCTCAGCCTCCCAAGTGGCTGGGACTTACAGGCGCCGGCCACAATGCCTGGCTATTTTTAAAGAGGTCTCGCTCTAGCTCATGAGTGAGTGAGCTCAGGCAATTCCACCTGCCTTGGCCTCCCAGAGTGCTAGGATTACAGGCGGGAGCCACAGCACAGGCCCAACCCTTTCTTTAACTCCACAGCCACAGCCAGCAATCCCTAGCATCCACCTTGGAAAGACTATACCTTGCTTTCTTATCCATTCATATGCTAGTCTTCTTAGAAGTACTGCATTCAGGCTTGGAGGTTTTAAGAATATTCTGGAGAAATTTCAAAAGAGTAAGCAGTTCCCTTCCCTCTCTCCTGACACATATATACTTCTCCATCTGCTTTAACATATGCCTGAAATCCTTTTCATTTTACAATTAGTTGTAAAAATGTTTTAGGTACTACTGTATGAGAATGGTAAGAGGTTGAAACTCATTGGTACTAAATCTGTAAACTAATGTAAGAGGGTTAGTTACCAGATTATTTTGTTTTATTTGGTTTAGGGGCAATTGAGCAAAACTATGGAACATAGCTATATAGGAGCCTCCTACCTGGAAAGAAGTTGCTTATGTTATGCAAGTGGCAAAGTCGAGGCTCCTTTGAAGATGCCTGGTGTCATACTTTTGCCTGGCGTCACCGTTCTCTATCTCACTACACAGACAAATACAGTCTGTAAACAGATTTCTTTTTTTATTGCTGTCTCATAGTCTCCATTTTAGCAGAAACATTCTGTGAGATAGATCTGGGAAAGGGATTCCAGCCAGAGTTTTGTCCCTGCTTCATAAGGTAGTGATTTGCATATTAAGTTATATACTTTGAACATTTGAAAATGTATACACACTAAACACACCAAACTCGATTTGCACTTACAAGTACTAATGTAGAATGGGAAACATTTGAACTTTAACTTTTCAGTCACTTATTTTGTAATCTTTCTCTGAAGTTGTTAGTAGTACCACCCAAAGCACTACTAAGGTACCTCAGTTAGTGGAGCTACCCGTTGGCTTTATCGTTAAGTTTAGTTAGTGATATATTTAAGATCACCTTTTCACCAATTCTTGAATTGTTAAATCTGTTACTGATGTTATTTTCCATCCTAAAACATTTTAGCAGAGGTGGCACTTACTTTAATTTGATAGATTTTCCTTGTTGAACTTACATGTAGACTATGTGTTTTCTTCTAGGTTTTGGGCGGAAAGATGTAGTTGAGTATTTGCTTCAGAATGGTGCAAATGTCCAAGCACGTGATGATGGGGGCCTTATTCCTCTGCATAATGCATGTTCTTTTGGTCATGCTGAAGTAGTTAACCTCCTTTTGCGACATGGAGCAGACCCAAATGCTCGAGATAATTGGAATTATACTCCTCTTCATGAAGCTGCAATTAAAGGAAAAATTGATGTTTGCATTGGTAAGACTGTCTACTTTTCAGAGTTTTCCCGGTATTATAACTAACTATGATGAATCTAAAATGAATTCATTTGTTAATATCATTAGGTTCTGTCAGGCTGAATTTAAGTATTTAAGATTTAATCTAACCACTATTTATGAAGTGTCTTTTGTGTATGGTACTGAGCCTAAATTTCTTTGGAGAATAGAACACAAAGTTCCTATTCTCTAAAAATTTGTGTTCCCTTGGGAAATAAGACACACAGAGAACCAGATAAAGGCATGGTAAAAATGAGCAGGGGGCATTAGAGGATAATGAATGAAGTGACTGAAGTCAAGGACCTACCTCCTGAGGTGGTGGGGAAAAGGTTCAAAAGGTAGGTAAGGACTTCTTTATAAAGAGCTTTAAATTCCAGATGAAGGAGCTTGATTACTATGTGAGCAGTGTGTATATCAAAGATTTTTGAGTGTGATGAGAGTACGTAGTGTTAGGTTCCATATAATGTTTTGATCAACAATGGACTACATACACAAGGGTGGTCCTGTAAGATGATGGAGCTGAAAAATTTCTTTTTTTATTTTTATTTTTATATGTACATGTGATTATTAGGTTTCCACTTTTTGCCTTCACAGAATTAAAAAGACTTAAAATTTAACAACAATAACAATGTTTAAGATAAGGACTAGAAACAAAAACCTCATAAATAATGAATGAAGATAAATACATTCAGAAAAGAAATCAGATGATTGCTGCAATGAAGTATTAAGTAATAATGATAATAGTAATGCAAAGAAAGTAACATTCACCTTGTCAAAAATAAGAGTATGACTATTATAGAGCTGAAAAATTTCTAATGCAGGTGTTTGTGGTGATGCTACTATAAACAAATCTGGTGTGCTGCCATTCTTATAAAATATATTAATGGCATATACAGTTGTGTGCAGTATGTAGTACTTGCTTAGGATAATAAACAGCTATGTTACTGGTTTGTGTATTTACTGTACTTTTTTTTATTATTTTAAAGTGTACTTCTACTTTTTAAAAATAGTTAGCTGGTTGGGTGTGGTGGCTCACACCTGTAATCCCAGTACTCTGGGAGGCTGAGGTGGGTGGATTGCCTGAGCTCACAAGTTCGAGACCAGCCTGAGTAAGAGTGAGACTCTGTCTCTAAAAAAAATAGCCAGGTGTTGTGGCGGGCACCTGTAGTCCCAGCTACTTAGGAGACTAAGGCAAGAGGATCTCTTGAACCCAAGAGTTTAGAGTTGCTGTGAACTGTGACACCATGACACTCTACTGAGGGCAATAAAGCGAGACTCTGTCTCAAAAAAAAAAGTTAACTATAAAACAGCCTAAGGCAAGGAGATATTCCAGAAGGCATTATTATAAAGTAGATGACAGAGCCATACATGTTACTGCCTCTAAAGACCTTTCAGTGGGATACAATGTAGAGGTGGGAGACAGTGATGATGATGATCCTGACCCTGTAATGGCCTGGTCTGATTTGTGTTTGTAGTTTGTGTCTTAGTTTTTAACAAAAAAGGTTTTAAAAGTTAAAAAAAAGTGCTTGCTTCAGCAGCACAGATTGGAATGATAAGAGAAGACCAGCATGGCTCTTGTGCAAGGATAACACACAGATTCGTGAAGCATTCCATGTTTAAAAATAAATAAATAAATAAATAAATAGAACAAAACTTATAGAATAAGGATATAAGAGAAGTTTTTTGTATAATTGTACATTGTGTTTGTGTTTTAAGCTAAGTTATTACAAGAATCAAAATACTATTAAAAATTAAAAGTTTATAAGGTAGAATTATAGTAATCTACCTTTGTAGATTGTGTTTTCTATTTTGTGACAGAATCCCACTCTGTTGCCCTGGATAGCTCACAGCAACCTCAAACTCTTACTTAGGCTCAAGCAATTCTCTTGCCTCAACCTTTCAAGTAGGTGGGTCTACAGGCACCCGCCACAACTCCCCGCTGACTTTTCTATATATTTTCTTTAGTGGAGACAGGGTCTTGCTCTTGCTTAGGCTGGTCTCAAACTCCTGAGCTCAAGCTATCCACCTGTCTTAGGCTCCCAGAGTGCTGGGATTACAGACATGAGCCACTGTAGCAGGCCAAGATAATTTATTGTTGCAAAAAGAAAAAAAAATGTTGTAAATGTACATAGCCTAAGTATACAGTGTTTATGGAATCTACAGTAGTGTACAGTAATGTCCTGGGCCTTCCCTTTCACTTACCACTCAAACACTAGCTCACAGAGGAACTTCCAGTCCTGCAAGCTCCACTCATGCTAAGTGCATGTAAGTGTACTTTTCTTTATCTTTTATATCATATTTTCTATGTTTAGATACATAGTACTTATGATTGTGTTACAGTTATCTACAGTATTTAGTAACATGCTGTGCAGGTTTTTAGCCTAGGAGTAGAAGGCTATATTGTATACCCTAGCTGTGTAGTAAACTACCATTTAGGTTTGTGAGTATGATATTTGCTCAGTGACAAATGTGTCATTTGTCACAATATATTCCCATCATTAAGCAAAACATGATTGTATTTTAGAGTAATTTGGTAGGGAGTTGGGTAGGGTGGATGGCATCTGGGAGACAAAGTTAAGAAGCTATAGAACAGTGATTCTCAACCTTCCTAATGCCGCAACCTTTTAATACAGTTCCTGTAGGTCATGACCCACAGGTTGAGAACCACGGCTATAGAATAACCCAGCTGAGAAGTGATGAGGGCATGACCTAGGGTTATATTATAGGAGAATGGGAATGGCAGGAAAACTAAGAAAATTATGTAGTATATGAGAAGGCTGCTTGAGTGTTTTCATTAACCTAGTATTTAATTTTCTGAGTCTAACAGATGAGAGCAGCAGTTCTCAGTCTGTGGGTCACGACCCACAGCAGCTGTATTAAAGGGTCATGACATTAAGAAGGTTGAGAACCACTGGATTAGACGGTTTTGGACTCATTGCAACCTGAGTTCCATTTTTCTAATGCAAATCAGGTGCAGTTGAAATTCTTAACGGATGAGAGCCAGTTCTGTGCACTGAGAAAAATCCAGGAACTCTGCTGGATTTAAATTGGTCTTCTCCCTCCCCGCAAAATCTCAAATTACTTTTTATGCCAAAGTCACCAGTTAGTTTAAATTAAGTCATTTGTAAAGATACAAAGGCTACCTGATTACCTTTACCCAGTTCTCCTTTTCTATGTGTTATCTTAAAAATGTTAACTGCTCAGGCAATGCCTGTGCTCAGTGGATAGGGTGCCAGCCCCATATCCACGGGTGGTGGGTTTGAACCCGGCCCCAGCCAAAGTGCAACAGAAATAGCCGGGCATTGTGGCAGGCCCCTGTAGTCCCAGGTACTTGGAAGGCTGAGGCAAAAGAATCGCCTAAGCCCTGGAATTGGAGGTTGCTGTGAGCTGTGATGCCACAGCACTCTACCAAGGGCGATAAAGTGAGACTCTGTCTGTAAATAAATAAGTTAATTAATTAAATAAAATTGTTGCTGCCCTATGTTCAAATATACTCTTTGTACCACATAACCCATCCCTCGTATCTCAGAGTCTCAGACATATAAATAATTACTTTTAATAATGTAGAGTTTTCCAAATATAGTTGTAGATCTGCACAGTTCACTATGGTAGCTGAGGACTCGTGGCTAATCTAAACTGAGATGTACTATGAGAGAAAAATATATATCAGGTTTCAAAGACTTAGTACAAAAAAGAATATCAAAATATTTTATTGGCTTGGTGCCTGTGCTCAGTGGTTAGGGCGCCAGCCACATACACCTGTACTGGCGGGTTTGAACCAGTCTGGGCAGGCTAAACAACGATGGCAACTGCAATAACAACAACAAAAATAGCCAGGCATTGTGGTGGGCACCTGTAGTCCCAGGTACTGGGAGGCTGAGGCAAAAGAATCACTTAAGTCCAAGAGTTAGAGGTTGTTGTGAGCTGTGACACCATGGCACTCTACTGAGGGCAACATAAACTCTGTCTCCAAAAAAGAAATTATTAATAATTTTGATGTTAGTTATAACATAGAGGTAAATATTGAATATTTTGGACATGTTGGATTAAATAAGATGTATTAAAATTAATTTAAGTAGTTTCTTTTTAATGTTTTTAATGTTTTAATCTAGAAAATTTCAGATTACATGTGTGGCTCACATTTTTTTCTATTGAACAGCACTGTTATAGATAGGAATGGAGCAAAATGGAAATTAACCATATCAAAGAACAGGAATTGAGCTTCCTTTCTGCCTGATATTTGCCTGTCTTCTTCTAGGTCTTTATTTATGGATAGAATGTGCTGAAATATCTTTATGTAACAAATAAGAATATAGAGAAAAACACAAGGCTTCTCTTTGTAACATTTCGTGGATTGTAACATTAAGAGTTTTTGATTTAGAGCAAATCACATACCCTACAGAGAATACTTGGATTTCAACTCAAAATTTAATGTAGTTGACCTCAAAAAACTAAATTTTTAGCTGGCAACCCCCATCCATGAATCCCGTGGTTAAGATTTTTCCAAAGAAAATTTGGAAATTCCTTATAAGGGATAATTTACACCTTGATTTCAGTGTAAACTACTCCCTAGACTAGTTTACTTTGCTGTTAAAATATGGTTTATGAGGGTATGAATAATGGACATATCCAAGTAGCCTCCTTCTGTTAATGTATTCAGCTTTCTAGAAGAATCAGGAGATTGTGAGTTATGGCCTTACAGAATTTATCAAAAGCATAAGTAAGCTATCCACTTTTGTTATGTTTAAAGGATTTTCCTGTGTGTATGTGTTTTTTGGTTTTTTTTTTTTTAAACAGAGCCCCAAGCTGTCACCCTGGGTAGAGTACCGTGTCTTCATAGCTTACAGCAACCTCCAAATCCTGGCTTAAGCAAGCCTTTTGCCTCAGCCTCCCAAGTAGCTGGGACTCCAGGCGCCCATCACAATGCCCAGCTACTTTTTGGTTATAGTTGTCATTGTTTGGCAGGCCTGGGCTTGATTCGAACCCACCAGCTCTGGTGTATGTGGCTGATGCCTTAACCACTTGAGCTACAGGCGCTGAGCCATGGTATTTTTATTTGTTTAAAAATCCTACAAAAGGCTTGGCGCCTATAGCTCAACCGGCTAAGGCGCCAGCCATGTACACCTAAGGTGGCGGGTTCGAATCCCCAGCCCGGACCCGCCAAACAACAACGGCTGCAACCAAAAAATAGCCGGGTGTTGTGGCGGGCGCCTGTGGTCCCAGCTACTTGGGAGGCGGAGGCAGGAGACTCACTTGAGCCCAGGAGTTGGAGGTTGCTGTGAACTGTAATGCCACGGCACTCTACCCAGGGGGACAGCTTGAGGCTCTGTCTCAAAAAAAAAAAAAAAAAAATCCTACAAAAGACTCGACTCATGAGCTAACCATAACTCAGTGGTTAGGGTGCTGGCCACATACAATAGTGCTGGTGGGTTTAGACTCAGCCTGGGCCTGCTAAAACAACAGTGTCAACTACAACAACAACAAAACATAGCCAGGTGTTGTGGTGGTCACCTGTAGTCCCAGCTACTTGGAGTCTGAGGCAAGAGAATCGCTTCAGCCAAAGAGTTTGAGGTTTGTATGAGCTATGACACCACGGCATTCCACCCAGGGGACATAGGTGAGATTCTGTCTCATAAAAAAATGTCCTACAAAAGTCTATTCCTCAGCTATCTAAGACTTTGGATATTTTATTTCTGTCATGATAGAACAGGTTTTTTGTTTTTTGGTTTTTTTTTGCATAGGCAGTGTTCCTTTGGAATAAGAAAACAAGCTTTCAAACAGACTTCCCTTTTTTCTTTTTTTTCCCTTAGACAAAGTCTCACTTTGTCACCCTTGGTAGAGTGCAGTGACATCACAGCTCACAGCAACCTCCAACTCCTGGGCTTAGGTGATTCTCTTGCCTCAGCCTCCTGAGTAGTTGGGACTAAGGGCACCTGCCCCAACACCAAGCTATTTTTTGTTGCACTTTGGCCAGGGCTAGGTTTGAATCCACCACCCTCTGTGTATGGGGCCAGCGCCCAACCCTCTGATCTACAGGCCCCTTTTTCCCTTATACACTCTTAACTGTCTTTGGTCACTTCATACCAGCTCTATAAATAGTAAAGGAAAATCTCACCTTGAACTAAGGGTAAACTTACTTAATGTGTCTTTAATGCGTTAAATAATGTAATGTTGTATATATTTTTATGTTTAAAGTATAACAGTTACTATTCTATCAGGATATGAAATGTTTGAGACTTCTGGACCAGAATTTTTGAGAAAATGATTTACTAAAATCCAGTTGTCATGATTACCATTTTGAAAGGTAGTGTTGCTATTTTTACAGTGCTCTTACAGCATGGAGCAGAGCCAACTATTCGAAATACAGATGGAAGAACAGCATTAGATTTAGCAGACCCATCTGCCAAAGCAGTGCTAACTGGTAAGTTTGTGTCCTTTCTTTGGTTCGTCTAGGACAAATATTAAGAACAAGTTTGCTAGATAGATAGCCTGCCTCCGGTGGTTAATGACCTCAATCAGATTTTAAAATAGTATCAGTTTGTTTGCTATTCTTTTCTACTTCTAGACAATTGATCATTGATTTTCACCCTAAGAAAGGTAAAGCTTTTTTTCTTTTTTTTTCTAGTTGATTTTTAAATTTGTCATTAAAGCCTTATTGGGGGTGGGATGATAGACAGATGTGTGTTGCTGTCATGTTTTTAGGGTATTTTAAAAATATCCTTAAATGCTTCCAGCCACAATCCCTGCTTACCATTTTATATGACTTTCCTCACTTGAAATTCAAAATACTTCTAGGTCTCAAGCAGTTTGGATAAAAGAAACTTAACCTGTACCATTCTTTTTTTGTTAAAAATATATTTTAAGTGAGATGCCTTACAGCCTTGGCCCTCAGGGGCATAGAGTGAGACCAGTTTGGCACACTGGGACTCATTGAAACCCTAGTCCAGAGGCATGGTAACTTAAAGAGCAAGAGGAAGTGAAAGGAAAATTAGGGCAAGGAAACAGATAAAAGAAAATACTCATGAGGATGAATCAGCAGAAAAATCCTGGCAACATGAAAAACCAATCCAGAGCAACCACCCCAAGGGACTGTGAGGTAGCTACTGCAGAGGATTCCACCTATAAAGAAATGTTAGAAATGACAGAAAGGGAATTTAGAATACAGATGATGAAGGAAGTGATGGAAACAATGAAGGAAACTGCTGATAAAGTGGAAAATAACCAAAAGGAAATCCAAAAACAGAATCAAATAAGAGATGAATGATATGAAGTATATAGAAAGGATACAGCAGAGCTGAAGGAATTGAAGCAGTCAATTAGGGAACTTAAAGATGCAATAGAAAGTATCAACAACAGATTAGACCATGCAGAATAAAGAATCTCAGACGTAGAGGACAAAGCTCTTGAAATAACTCAGACAGTTAAAGAGGCAGAAAAGAAAAGAGAGAAAGCAGAACGTTCACTGATAGAATTGTGGGACTTTATGAAGTGTTCAAACATATGAGTTATAGGTATCCTAGAAGGGGAAGAAGAATGCCCCAGGGGAATAGAAGCCATATTAGAGAATATTACAAATGAAAATTTTCCAAATATCACCAAAGATTCTGACACACTCCTTTCAGAGGGATATTGGACCTCAGGTTACCTCAACTCTTAGCAGAGCTTCTCCAAGACACATTGTGATGAACCTGTCCAAAGTCAAGACAAAAGAAAAGATTCTTTAAGCTGCCAGGAGTAATTGCCAGTTGACCTACAGGGGCAAATCCATCAGAGTGACTGCATACTTCTCTAATGAAACTTTTCAGCCAGAAGAATACTTCAACCTGTTCTACACACTGACCGTCACAATGGATCAATAGCAAAGTAAGAACTCAGAAATTAAAGGACAGAACCTGACTTCTACACTGATGCAAAAGATAAAACTAAGCAGTGGACTCTCATAAAATAAAATGAATATAACACTACCACACTTATCAGTTATCTCAATAAATGGTTTTTTTTTGTTTTGTTTTGTTTTGTTTTGTTTTTTGAGACAGAGCCTCAAGCTGTCCCCCTGGGTAGAGTGCCATGGCATTACAGCTCACAGCAACCTCTAACTCCTGGGCTCAAGCGAGTCTCCTGCTTCCGCCTCCCAAGTAGCTGGGACCACAGGCGCCCGCCACAACGCCCGGCTATTTTTTTTTTTGGTTGCAGCCGTTGTTGTTTTGGCAGGTCCGGGCTGGGGATTCGAACCCGCCACCTTAGGTGTACGTGGCTGGCGCCTTAGCCGGTTGAGCTATAGGCGCCGAGCCTCAATAAATGTTAATGGGTTTAATTCCCCACTGAATGAGGCATAGATTGGCTGACTAGATTAAAAAACATAAGCCATCCATTTGCTGTCTGCAGGAAACACATCTAGCTATAAAAGACAAAACTCCGAGTTAAGGGTTGGAAGACAATTTTTCAGGCAAACGAATTCAGAAGAAAAGAGGAGTTGCAATCTTATTTTCAGATACATGTGGATTTAAAGCAACTAAAGTCAAAAAAGACAAAGACAGTCACTTTATATTGGTCAAGGGAAAAGTACAACAAGAAGATGTTTCAATTCTAAATATTTATGCAACGAACTTAAATGCTCCCAACCTTACTCAGTCTGAGCAATATTGATATCCTATAACACCACAATAACAGGGGACTTTTAACACTCCTCTTACAGAGCTGGACAGGTCTAAACAGAAATTAAACAAAGATACAAGGGACTTAAATGAGACCCTAGAACAACTGTGCTTGATAGAAGTATATAGAACACTCCTTCCCAAAGATAAAGAATATACATTCTTCTCAGGTGATGCCTGTGGCTCAAAGGAGTAGGGTACCAGCCCCATATGCCGGAGGTGGCGGGTTCAAACCCAGCCCAGGCCAAAAATGCAAAAAAAAAATATATATATATATATATATATATACTTCTCATCACCCCATGGAACATTCTCTAAAATTGATCATATCTTAGGACACAAAACAAACCTCAACAGAATCAAAAGAATTGAAATTTTACCTTGTATCTTCTCAGACCACAAGGCACTAAAGGTGGAACTTAACTCCAACAAAAACGTTCAACCCCACCCAAAGGCATGGGAATTAAACAACCTTCTGTTGAATGACAGTTGGATGCAGGAAGAAATAAAAGAGGAAATCCTTAACTTCCTTGAGCATAACAACAATGAAAACACAACCTACCAAATCCTGTGGGATACTGCAAAAGCAGTTCTGAGAGGAAAATTTATCACTTTTAGATGCCTACATTCGAAAAACAGAAAGAGCACATCAAATAAATAAATAAATAAATAATAAAATAAATAAAGAGAGCACATTAACAAACTCACAAGCAATCTTATGGAATTGGAAAAAGAACAATCTAAGCCTAAATCCAGCAGAAGAAAAGAAATATCCAAAATTAAATCAGAGATCAATGAAATTGAAAACAGAATCATTCAGAAAATTAATGAAACAATGAGTTGGTTTTTTGAAAAAATAAGATAAGTAAACCTTTGGCCAGACTAACTACAAATAGAAAAGTAAAATCTCTAGTAACCTCAATCAAAAATGATAAAGGGGAAATAACAACTGATGCCACAGATATCCAAGAGATCATCTCTGAATATTACCAGAAACTCTATGCTCAGAAATTTGACAATGTGAAAGAAATGGATCAATATTTGGAATCACACCCTTTCCCTAGACTTAGCCAGGAAGAAATAGATCTCCTGAACAGATCAATTTCAAGCACTGAGATTAAAGAAACAACAAATTTCCAACAAAAAAATGCCCTGGTCCAGATGGCTTCACACCAGAATTCTATCAAACCTTCAAGGAAGAGCTTATTCCTGTACTGCAGAAATTATTCCAAAAGATTGAGGAGGAAAGAATCTTCCCCAACATGTTCTATGAAGCAAACATCACCCTGATACCAAAACCAGGAAAAGACCCAACTAAAAAGGAAAATTTCAGACCATACAGCTTATCATCAAAAAAGTCATATATCATGATCAAGTAGGTTTCATCCCAGGGATGCAAGGCTGGTTTAACATACACAAGTCCATAAACATTATCTGCCATATTAACAGAAGCAAAAACAAAGACCATATGATCCCCTCAATAGATGCAGAAAAAGCATTTGATAAAATCCAGCATCCTTTTCTAATTAGAACACTGAAGAGTATAGGCATACCTGGCACATTTCTTAAACCCATCGAAGCTATCTATGATAGCTAATATTTTACTGAATGAAGTAAACCTGAAAGCTTTTCCTCTATGAACTGGAGCAGACAAGGTTGCCCTCTGTCACCATTATTATTCAACAAAGTGCTAGAAGTTCTAGCAAATACAATTAGGCAAGACAAGGAAATAAATGGCATCCAAATGGGAGCAGAGGATCCCATAAAGCCTCTTTGCTGACCATATGATCTTATACTTAGAGAACCCTAAAGACTCAACCATAAGACTCCTGGAAGTCATCAAAAAATATAGTAATGTCTCAGGATATAAAATCAATGTCCACAAGTCAGTAGCCTTTGTATATGGCAATAACAGTCAAGATGAGAGGCTAATTAAGGACACAACTCTCTTTACCATAGCTTCAAAGAAAATGAAGTACCTAGGAATATGCCTAACAAAAGAGGTGAAGGACCTCTATAAAGAAAATTATGAAATCCTAAGAAAGGAAATAGCAGAGAATATTAACAAATGGAAGAACATGCCATGCTCATGGCTGGGAAGAATCAACATTGTTAAAATGTCTATGCTTCCCAAAGCAATCTACCGATTCAATGCCATCCCTATTAAAATACCAGCGTTGTACTTTCAAGATTTGGAAAAAATGATTCTGTGTTTCATATGGAACTAGAAAAAATCCCATGTAGCTAAGGCAGTTCTTAGTAATAAAAACAAAACTGGGGGCATCAGCATACCAGATTTTAAGCTGTACTACAAAGCCATAGTAGTCAAGACAGCATGGTACTGGCACAAAAATAGAGACATAGACATTTGGAATCGAATAGAAAACCAGGAAATGAAACTAACATCTTATAACCACCTAATCTTCAGTAAACTAAATAAGAACATACCTTGAGGGAAAGACTCCCCATTCAATAAATGGTGCTGGGAGAACTGGAATATCCACATGTAAAAGACTGAAACTAGACCCATACCTTTCTCCAACTCAAAAAAATTGATTCAAGGGTAGCACCTATGGCTCAAAGGAGTAGGGTGCCGGCCCCATATGCCAGAGGTAGCAGGTTCAAACCCAGCCCTGGCCAAAAACGGCCAAAGAAAAATTGATTCAAGATGGATAAAGGACTTAAATTTAAGGCATGAAACAATAAAAATCCTCAAAGAAAGCATAGGAAAAACACTGGAAGATATTGACCTGGGGAAAGAATTCATGAAGACTGCCATGGCAATTGCAACAATAAAAATAAACAAATGGGAATTAATGAAACTGAAAAGCTTCTGTACAGCTAAGGAGACAGCAACCAAAGCAAATAGACAACCTATACAATGGAAAAGGATATTTGCATATTTTGAATCAGACAGAAGCTTGATAACTAGGATCTATAGAGAATTCAAATTAATACACATGAAAAAAGCCAACAATCCCATATATCAATGGGCAAGAGACATGAATAGAGCTTTCTCTAAAGAGACAGATGAATGGGTAACAAACAGATGAAAAAATGCTCATCATGCAAATCAAAACCACCCTGAGATCTGGCCCCAGTGAGAATGGCCCACATCACAAAATCTCAGAACTGCAGATGCTGGCATGGATGTGGAGAGAAGGGAACACTTTTACACTGCTGGTGGGGCAAACTAATACAACCTTTTTGGAAGGGAAGTATGGAGAACCCTCAAAGAACTCGAGCTAGACCTTCCATTTGATCCTGCAGTCCCATTACTGGGCATCGACCCAGAAGGAAAAAATCCTTTTATCATAAGGACACTTGCACTAGACTATTTATTGCAGCTCAATTTACAATCACTAAAATGTGGAAACAGCCTAAATGTCCACCAACCCAGGAGTAGATTAACAAGTTGTAGCCTGTGTACACCATGGAATACTATTCAGCCATTAAAAAAAATGGAGACTTTACAGCCTTTGTATTAACCTGGATGGAAGCAGAACATAGTGGAAGCATAGTGATTATGCTCATTATTCTTAGTAATGCATCACAAAAATGGAAAAGCATGAATCCTATGTACTCAATTTTGATATAAGGACAATTAATGACACTGTGGGGGAAGGGGAGAGCAGAGAGAAAGGAGGGAGGGGTAGGGGAAAGGAAGAGCAGAGAAAGGGAAGGAGGGAGGGGGATGGGGTCTTGGTGTGTGCCACACCTTTTGGGGACTTTACCTAACAAATGCAATCAGTGTAACTTGGTTTCTTGTACCCTCAATGAATCCCCAACAATAAATAAATAAATATGTATATATATTAACCATTTGGTCAGAAAGCACTAACCATTCTCTTGCTTTACAAAACAGGATTCTGGGCACACTTCTTTAGTACCATGAAGAGTGCTAATTATTGTACTCTGCTATAATCATGTTCTTGACTATAGTGTAAGGCTATAGTTTTGATTGACAGGCTTTTCTGAATTGTATCTGCTTCACATATTTTTGCCCTTGTCAGTGTACTTTCCTCTTAAGCAGCTCTGCCATATTACTTACTAGATTCTTACCTACTGGATGATAACCATCAGAATCACGTCTAACTAAAAGGGAAGAACCTGAAGGGCTTTGCTGTGAGCTTTGTGTTGTTTCTTCTGGCATTGCTGAAGAAAATTTAGACTAAATACACTTACAGAAATGTGAACTGTTATTGTGGCTATCATTTCAATGTTCATTTCTTCCATTACTAACCATTCCATGTTATTCCATGGTTTTATCTTTTTAAAAACTTTGGGGTGCAAGAGAAGCCTTGCCTTTGCAATCAGTATACAATTTACATTATGGGCACAGTTTGGATGTCATTTCAGCAAATCATTATGTTAATTTAAATTTTATTAATTGTATAGTTTGTTTATACTCACTTATATAGGTAAAAGCCATAGGCAGTTTGTAGTTAATCCTTTCTTTTATGTTTTTATATACTTAAAATAGTATTAAATAAAGGTGATTTTTGTGTTGAAACATCTAGATTCATAAAAAAGTTAAGAGATTATGCTTAATCATTGATGCTATAGGTTTTGTCGTCATTTCTGTAATGTTGGTGTTATATTGGATTTTGTTTAGGTTTTGAATGAGATTGTGGATATGTTTTGTTTATCTGTTACAAAAATACCATACTCATTTTAGGAAATTGAAAGGAATAGAAGAAGAGAAAAACTTACCAGTAGCCTACCACCCAAGACAAATTTTGTTAATATTGCAATATATTTCTTTTAGGGCTTTCCTCTTTCTGTGTATATTGTTGTTTTATAGTTGTAGTCACGCTTCATTATATAAAGTTGAATCATTTCTATTTTATTTCCATAACAAAGGCATTTCATGTTTTTCATAAAATTATTTTTGAACTATATGATATTCTGTTAATTAACCATCTTCCATTTATTTGGAATTTATTTCCAAATTTATCTACCTTAAATACAGTTCAGTGGGCTTCTTTTAAGTTTCTGCTCATTTTCTTTCTTACACAGGTGAATATAAGAAAGATGAACTCTTGGAAAGTGCCAGGTATGTACTAGTGGTATAAATACATAACATAAATACTTCACCATTAATTTTTTTTTTTTTTACAATAAGCAAACTTTAAAAGAGAATGATTTTTTGTTCAGTGGTCACAATACATATCTTGAAGCATAATCTCATAATGAATGCAAGTTGCTAGAACATCTTTTTGTGTTCTAGGAGTGGCAATGAGGAAAAAATGATGGGTCTGCTTACACCGTTAAATGTCAACTGCCATGCAAGTGATGGAAGAAAGGTACTTCCTTTTGCAACTATGTTTATGCTTACCTCCTCATAACATGAAGATGTGTTTATCTTACTACAAATGAAAATATATTTGAAGAAAGAGTACTTATGATTTCTTTTAAGTAGTAGTTCAGATTAATTCTTAAACTTAGCAAAACGTTATTGATAATAAACATTTAGTTGTTTCCTTTCTATGTGCAGTGGTTAACTTATAAACTGTCACACTAGGCCTTCAGCATATGTTGGATTTTATAAAACCAAATTAATAACTATTTATTTAGACAATGAAGTTATAATTGGATTTTATGGTTTTATATTTTGAGTTTTTACTTTTTTACACATTTTATTCAGCCATTATTTGAATTACATTAATTTGTTTGATTAATATTTCAGTCAACTCCATTGCATTTGGCAGCAGGATACAACAGAGTAAAGATTGTACAGCTGTTGTTACAACATGGAGCTGATGTCCATGCTAAAGATAAAGGGTAAGGGTTTGAACAAAATGAGGACTTCTTAAATGGTACTGTCCTTATTAACAGTCTTTGTAGCATATAAAAATCATTTTTTAACTAGAAGATTATAAAACATTAAACCTACTACTTGTAGGATTTACTTTACACTTTAGAGGACAAGAAAAGATAACTGATAATACCAGGAGGTCTCTCCCAAGTGCTAGGTGATAAATGGAGAGGGATAATACAGGAATTCCTAGGAGGAAATTATCAGTGGTGACTAGAGTGGTTGGGAGGAAATGGTACTTGATTGGGTAAAGGCAAGTCTCAATTGAAGAAAACAAAGAGTTTGGAGAACATTACCCTTCTAGAGAATTGGCATAAATGGAGGTGCTAAAGCAGATGTTATAGCACATTTAAGAAACAGTAACTGAACTAGCTTGGCTGGAGCAGTTAATTCATGTAGGGGACAAATGAAGATTAGGGTTAGAGAAATGGGTTTTTTTAAGACTTGGTATTCAAATATGGGGAAGGAGGAGGGAGGGGGGAATGGGTGGAGGGAGGGGGATTAGAGAGATCACTTCTGAGGTTTATCTTACAGGGGTACAAGTGAATCTTTCTAAGAGTAGAATGTGAACATTTTAAAACAATAACTGAGAAAATGACATGAAGGCTATGTTGACCAGTTTGAAGGAAGTATTTCAGATTGCATGTGAAAACCCCACACTGTACCCCAGAAGTGCATTAATGTACATAGTTACCATTCAATTAAAAGAAAAAAAAGACTTGGTATTCAAGCGTAAGGAATTTGAATTTCGTTCTGTGAGCTGAAGCAAGGGGGTGGGTGACTATTCTAAAATAAAGAGCTTTGGGAGGTTTACTTTGGAGCAATGTGTAGGATAGATTGGAGAGGAAGGAGACTAGAGGTAAAAAGAGCAGTTCAGAAAGTGAGTGTTCACGTATAATGGGGGTCCATCGTGTGGCAGAGAAAATGAAAATGAAAGCATAGAAACAAGAGGTACTATAGTGTACGAATGGATGAGATTTGTTGAATGTCTAAATGTGATGAGAGAGAAAGGAATAAAAAGAAAACTACTACATTTCCAGTTGTGAAGCTGAGTTAAATACTGAGGTATAGGAATGAAAATTGTTTTGGGGGAAAACAGTTTGAGCTCACTTGTACAACTCTTTCTTTCATGAGATGATGGTAAGAACTTAAGTAGAAGTATCTAGTAGGTAACTGGGAATGAAAATGATGGTTAAAGGAAGTAAGGAATCCTGTGTTCAAAAATGGTATTTTGGAAAGCAATGAGCCTTTAAACAGAGGGCATGTAGGACTAAAGACTAAATCTCAGGTGGCCATAACTTACCAGAGACAAGAGGATGGATGCTGTGGCTATAAAGGAGTGATCCCAAAGAGAAGGAGAAGCTTAAAGACAGAAGTCAGAATTTTAAGATTCTACTGTACCTTCCCATGTAGAAAGCTCTTTCTCCATTCCCATCTTGAAATAATTGGGTTTCAGGGTTTTGTTTGTTTGTTTTGATATAAGGATTTATTTTCTTTGATGGTAAAGGTTTTTTTTTAATTTCAGATTAATATGACAGTATAATTAGGTAAAATCCGTTTGTTAGGTAAAGACCCTGCTGTAGTGGTAGCCTGCACCCAAGAGGTATGGGGAGGAGCATACCGATCCCCCTCCCTCTTACCCTTTTCCTTTTCCCACCTCCCTTCTCCCCTGCAACTTGAATTAAATTGTGTTTTTCTCTTGTGCGGGCATGTATTAGTTCATTTACTAGCTTCATATGAGTATTGAGTGCATTGGATACTTGCTTTTCCATTCTTGTGATGTCTTAACTAAGAAGAATGTTTCAACTGCATCCAGGTTAATACAAAAGATGTAAAGTCTCCATCTTTTTATTTTTATGGCTGAATATATTCCATGGTATACATATATTAATGCATATTAATCCTTTCCTGGGTTGATGGGCATTTGGGTTGTTTCCACATCTTCGTGATTGTAAATTGAGCTGTGATGAACAATCTAGTTCAGATATTCTTATGGTAAAATGATTTTTTTTCTTCTGGATAGATACCTAGTAATGAGATTGTGGAATCAAATGGAAGTTTTTTTTTTTTCTTGTTTTTTATTTTACTTTGTTTTTATTTTTTCTTTTTTTGAGATAGAGTCTCACTATGTCACCCTTGGTGGAGTGCTATGATGTCACAGCTCACAGCAACCTCAAACTCTTGGGTTTAAGCGATTCTCTTCCCTCAGGCTCCCAAGTAGCTGGGACTACAGGTGTCTGCCATCGCACCCCGCTATTTTTTTATTGTAGTTGTCATTGTTTTAGCAGACCCGGGCCAGGTTCAAGCCCACTAGCCCCTATGTATGTGGCTGGCACCCTAGCCACTGAGCTATAGGCACCAAACCTGAAAGGTCTATATTTAAATTCTTTGAAGATACTCCATACTTTCTTCCAAAGAGTCTAGATTAGTTTGTAGTCTGACCAACAGTGTAAAAGTGTTCCCTTCTCTCCACATCTGCACCAGCATCTGCCATTTTGGGATGAGTTTCAGCTTTTTAAGAAATATAGTGATTTGTCTTACAAGATCTCAGAAAAGTTTCTGAGAAAAACCAGTGTTGAGTTGAATCTAGAAAAGAAGTGTAAAAATGAGCCAGGCCAGAAGGAAGGAAATCTGTCCTACACACAGGGAGCAGCAAACTTATAGAGGGAACTACAAGGTTAGCATACCATTATTCAAAAATAAGGCTAGAGGGAGGCTCAGATCATTCAGTATGCCATGTTAAGAACTTGGAACCCTTTCATGAAAGCACAGAAGAACCACTAAGGATGTTAAAGTAAGGTATAGCCAGTAGCAGATTTACCATTTAGAAAAATGGGAGAGTAATTTGGAGTAGGGGTTATTTCTGTAATGCAGAGAAGAAATAATGTAGGTCCATACTAAGGCATTAGTAGTCACTATGAGGGAAAAAGGAAGAAGGGTCTCAGAGTTGATAGAATTGTTAGAACTAAAGGTTTAAGTAGATGTTACTAAATTTTGTATGTTTTTAAATAGAAGATCAGCTAGCCATTTTTCTGTTTAAGTAATTAATTAAAATTAAATGTTTTAATTTATAAATTACCCTATCTCTAGGGATTCTGTAACTTTGAACTTTTTCCCCCCTCTCATTGTAGTGATCTGGTGCCATTACACAATGCCTGTTCTTATGGTCATTATGAAGTAACTGAACTTCTGGTCAAGGTTAGTCCTTATGTACTTTCCTAATCATTTTCTGTAATTGTATAAAATCACTTGAAATACATGGTATATCTTGTTTTTTATGTGGTCTTAGTACTTCATAGAAAAAGGAGTACTTATAGGTGATTGGCATGTCTGCTTCTGAGTGCTTTGAGACTTTTCAGATACCAAACACATTTGAATATAAAGTAGTGCTATCATAAATGACAGATTAAGCAATTCTGTAATTCCTAACTGAAGATAAACTGTTAAAACTCTGGTAACAGAAAGTAATTTTTAGTGAATCATGTATTATTAAAACCACCAATTATATTTGCAAGATGTGCTAATCATAGTTTGAGTTGGAGCAAGTCCAGTTGGTAAGCTTCTTCCAGTATGCTCTGCAGCTCTTTTTTTTTTTTTTTAGTAGAGATGGGGTCTCACTCTTGCTCAGGTTGGTCTTGAACCTGTGAGCTCAAGCAGTCCACCCATGTCAGCCTCCCAGAGTGCTAGGATTACAGGCGTGAGCCACCATGCCCAGCCTGCCCAGCAGCTTTTTAATAAACAGATTCTCAAGACTAGCAAGACACTTCTTATTTTGGCCCCTCTTGGGTTGAGATTATAAGATAATAAGAGTGAATCCCAGCATGTTAGCCACACCTGTTTCCTTCAGTCCTTCACTCCCTCAGTCTTTACATATACATGTATTTGCCCACAATCTTGAGACTTCTGATACCCTAAACCTAGTCTGTCCCTTCAGTACTTTTCCTCATTCTCTCGGCAGCTGTCACAGAAAGGGAAAGAGAACACTTGTTTCCAGTGCCTGTAGGCATCCTTTGGGGTGTAACCAACTACGGAATATATTTTCCTACAGAAACAACTTTATTATAATGATTATCTAAGCATACCATTTTTATAGAGGAAGGCTCAGAAGTTTTTTGGGTTTTTTTGCAGTTTTTGTCCAGTGCCGGGTTTGAACCTGCCACCTCTGGCATATGGGGCTGGTGCCCTGCTCCTTTGAGCCACAGGTGCTGCCCAGAAGGCTCAGAATTTTGAAAGTTTACCTTTAGCTACAAATTATAGAATCACTTAATTTGTTATCTATAAGATGATAGCACTGCTTCATATTCAAATGTGTTTGCTCCAAGTAGCACATAAGTCTTTTTAAATTTATGATATGGCTGTTGTATTATACATTAGTAGTGATGATGTTTTTGCTTCTTGAAAAATTGAATCTTGAACAGAACATTTGAATGTTACTATGAGTAAGAATAAAACATCAAACAAATTGCACTGGGACTTAAAGAAAACTGAGTGGTTATTTTCCTAAGTCCTAATGTTTTCCTGAATAAAAATGGAAGGCTGGGTAGAGGTTATATTTAGAGAGGAGGTTAACTGAGGTGAGATGCAGGTAGTACTAGAGCTGAAAATTTCAGGAAAGTCAGGCGGCGCCTGTGGTTCAGTGGATAGAGGGCCAGACCCATATACTGACGGTGGCAGGTTCAAACCCAGCCCTGGCTAAACTGCAACAAAAAAATAGCCAGGGGTTGTGGTGGGCACCTGTAGTCCCAGCTGCTCAGTAGGCTGAGGCAAGAGAATCTCCTAAGCCCAGGAGTTGGAGGTTGCTATGAGCTATGTGATACCACAGCACTCTACCAAGGGTGATAAAGTGGGACTGTGTCTACCAAAAAAAAAAAAATTTCCAGGAAAGTCAGAGATTGGGAATACAGGCAGAGGTTGTGGGCAATGCTGAGTCAATCATCATCCCTTGGTAAATACAGTCTGGCCAGCAGAAGCTGGTATTTAACAGCAAGCATTCAGTGACTGCTTTCTGTGACGAAGGTACTGTGCTAGGCATGGGAGTCACTGAGACATCCCTGAACAAAGCATTTAAATAGTGAAGGTCTAGCAATAAAAGTCACAAGAATAACAAGGAATTCTCTTAACTTTCATCTTCCTCATAGCTGCCAAGTACAAGGAAACTAGTAATAGATGGATCTGGCTAGAATGAAGGGAAAATTTCTGTCAGGTAGATTCATAATTGATTAAACCATTGTGCAGAAAGCTCTCACTGATCTTTCTTTGCTTAGAAGAGAATGTTAGAACTTCTAATGAAGTTAGGACTTCTAATGGACTTCCATAAATGCTATCTGTGCCTTTATTGTAGTCCAAATTTTTATCATTGATTGGATAAAAAATTAGAATTGCTTATCAGATTTGCAGATTACCATAAAGTTGGGAAGAATAATATTTACCTTGATAGAACCAGGGCACAGGGCAGCGCCTGTTGCTCAGTCAGTAGGGCGCAGGCCCCATATACCAAGGGTGGCAGGTTCAAACCTAGCCCCAGCCAAACTTTAACAAAAAATAGCCGGGATTGTGGCAGGCACCTATAGTCCCAGCTAAAGAACCAGGGCACAAAACCATCTTATTTTCACAGGCTCAAAGCTTGGGTTAAACCCAGAAAAATGAAATTTAATGGAGATCAATACGGAGACTTTAGTTCACAAAAATAAGTTGACAAGAACAAGGTATGGGAGGAGAACTTACTTTGGTGTTTACTTCATGTTTAAAAAATAATCGACAGGTGGCACCTGTGGCTCAAGGAGTAGGGCGCCAGCCCCATATGCCAAGGGTGGCGGGTTCAAACCCAGCCCTGGGCAAAAAAAAAACTGTAAAAAAATAATCTACAGCTTTTAAACCAGCTGCAGTAGCTCACGCCTATAATCCCCTCAGGAGCTATGATTATGCTGTTGCACTCCAGCCCAGGCAACAGAGCGAGACCTGTCTCTAAAAATACTAAGAATCTAGAGCTCTTAAGTTGCCCACTAATTCAGTTTATGTATAAATTGTAATGTGACTATTTAAAAAGCTAATTTTTGTGCCAATAGTAGAATTATAGCTTTAAGAGCAAATATAATAGATACATTGTACTCCATACAATCAGACCACATTGGAATCTATTGTTGTTTTAGGCTCTCCTCTTCCCCCCTCCCCGTATCTTTTATTTATTTATTTATTTTTGAGACAATCTCACTCTGTCACCAGGGAGAGTGCAGTAGTGTCATCATAGTCTACTGCCACCTCAAACTCCTGGCCTCATGTGATCCTCCTGCCTCAGCGTCCCAAGTAGCTGGAACTCCAGGCAGGCACTTATCACACCCAGCTAATTTTTCTGTTTTTAGTAGAGATAGGATCTTGCTCTTTCTCAGGCTGGTCTCAAGCTCCTGAGCTTAAGTAATCCTCCCACCTTAAATTAATTTTTTAAACTAAGGTATATTTAGTTGAGAACTGTCAGGGTAAGTCTAGAAACTAGCTGATATGAAGGATGGATGAAGGAACTTTGATCTAGCTATTTAGGCTGAAAAAGATAAATATGAGAGGCTTGGCGCCTGTGGCTCAAGCGGCTAAGGCGCCAGCCACATACACCTAAGGTGGCGGGTTCGAATCCCCAGCCCGGGCCCGCCAAACAACAATGATGGCTGCAACCAAAAAATGGCCAGGCGTTGTGGCAGGCGCCTGTAGTCCCAGCTACTTGGGAGGCGGAGGCAGGAGACTCGCTTGAGCCCAGGAGTTGGAGGTTGCTGTGAGTGTGATGCCATGGCACTCTACCCAGGGGGATAGCTTGAGGCTCCGTCTCAAAAAAAAAAAGGTAAACATGAGAGTTGCCTTCAAATACTGCAAAGAAGAATATTAATCTCTTTTACTCTAAAGAAGATAAAACAAATGGATCAAAGTTAAAAGTGCATAGAACAACTTAATGTAGAAGGAAAGCAGTTTCCTAACAACAGGAGTTGTTATCTAATGTGTGTTAGCTGAGAATTAGGATTTAGTACTGTTGAAAGTACTAAAAAGTAAGTAGTTGTTTTGCCTTGTGTTAGGTATGCTGTAAAAGGGATTTTGTTTGATGGGAAGTTGAACTAGTATAACTTGTGTGGGCTATCAACTCCAACACTTGGAAGTGACTAAAATTAAAAAATCAGACAACACAAAGTATTAGTAAGGATAGGGAGCAACTAGAACTCAAACCTTGCTGATAGCAATGGAAAATGAGATAGCTACTTTAGAAAACTGTTCGACACTTTCTAATAAAGTTAAACGTTATCCGTTGTGACAACATGTGTCCATAAAGAGACTTTATATGGAATGTATAGGAATGTTCATAACAGCTTATTCATAATACAAGTTGAGTATCCTTTATCTGTAATACTTGGGACCAGAAGTATTTCAGATTTCAGATCTTTTTAGATTTGGGAATATGTGCATATATAATACATAATGGGGTATCTTGAGAATGGAACCCAAGTCTAAACACAAAATTCATTTGTTTCATATATAATTTATGCAGATAGCCTGAGAGTGATTTTATACAATATTTTTAATAATTTTGTGCACAAAACAGATGGGTGTGTGCATGAGGTCAGATGTGGAATTTTCCACTGGTGGGGTGTCATCTCAGCAGTCCAAAAAATTTGCATTTTGGAGCATTTCACATTTTGGGTTTTCACATTAGGGATACTCGTAGTCAAAAACTGTAAATGGCCCAAATGTCTGTTAACAGATAATAGATAAGTATATGATGACATATCTATACTGTGAAATACTCCTCAGCACTGAAAATGAACTAATATGGCAACTTCAGTGAATCTCAGAAACGTGTGTGAAGAAGGCTACTCAAGTATATATTATAGAAAAGTACATTCTTTCCTTTTTATAAAATTCAAGTATGGGTAGATGTAATACATGGTGCTAAAAGTCAGAATGGGAACAGGAATTATAAAAGGAGCATGAGGAAACATTTGGGTTGATGGAAGTACCCTGTATCTTGATTTGAGTAATGGTATCATGGATATGTACATCTGTCAAAACTCATCAGATGTAAACACTGAAGAGTTGTGCATCTCTTCACTAAGTGTAAGTTACACCTCAAAAAAGGAAAAAACAGTACTTGGAAAAGGTACAGGTTAAACGTAAAGCTTAATTTTAGCTCTTCTGACTAAAGGAATTGAATAGGCCCTTGTGGTTGGGACACTACTGTTTTTCCATTTGGAGAAATGTATACTTTTTGAAATAATTAGTTTAAAAAGTAAACTTTGGGAACATAACCTGTTTAAGCTTACATAATAATTATATTACACAGTACTAATAATTCTAAATTCTTTTAAAAATTGAACATTAAATTTATGCTTTTTCCTCCCCAGCACGGTGCCTGTGTAAATGCAATGGACTTATGGCAGTTCACGCCTCTTCATGAAGCAGCTTCTAAAAACAGGGTTGAAGTGTGTTCTCTTCTCTTAAGTTACGGTGCAGATCCGACACTGCTGAATTGTCACAATAAAAGTGCTATCGACTTGGCTCCCACACCACAGTTAAAAGAAAGATTAGCATGTGAGTATACAATTACAAATGTTTAGCTATGATATTATATCAGTAAACTGAACTTTTTTTTTTTTTTGTAGTTTTTGGCCGGGGCCAGGTTTTGAACCCACCACCTCCGGCTTATGGGGCCAGCGCCCTACTCCTTTGAGCCACAGGTGCTACCCTAAACTGAACATTTTTTGCTTGTTTTTAGAAATAGTGTTTTTTTTTAGTCTTGGATGTATCATTGTTTAGACTAACATTTAATAATGTGAAAGTTTCTACTTTAGATATTATGAAAATATATTGAATTAGTTTTTTCAAGTTGTGTTTTATGCTTTTTATGTGACTATTTTATTAGATGGTATCCTTTTAAAACAAAGCATTTGAATTATTTCTATCTTTGACATTACTTTCTAGTTAATTCATGAAGCTATGATGTTAGTGTTATTTGTCAGATTGCTGTCTTGTAACCATAGACTCCAGATCTTAACATCTAATATTCTTTGGTACCTGGACCAGAGTTTTCTGACCATAGTTGATGTAAACGTAGTGAGAAATAATCATCTAGTTCAGATACATATACATAGGCAACTGGCAATGGACTTGTATTATTCTGGAATAATAAAGGATAATGGGTAGTTTCACAAGTCTGATGAGTAAAAGAGAAATCTTGTGAAAATATCCTCTTTTATTTGATTATTATAGGTGGCTCTTGGAAATAACCAGCTTATCTAGTTTCTAATTCTTTATAGGTATGAGCAAAACTATCTGCTGCTGCCATAATGTCAGTATAGGGATTATGATCATCCTTTATTTCTTTACTGATAAGAGTTTTGTGCTTTGAAAAATCCTGAGAACTCTATGGTCTAGGAATAGTGCAGTACTCAGATATCTCTAGACCAGTGGTTCTCAACCTTTCTAATGCCACAACCATTTTTTTTCTTTTTCTTTTTTCTTTTTTTATTTTTTTTGAGACAGAGCCTCAAGCTGTCCCCCTGGGTACAGTGCCGTGGCATCACAGCTCACAGCAATCTCCAACTCCTGGGCTCAGTCTCCTGCCTCCGCCTCCCAAGTAGCTGGGACCACAGGCGCCCACCACAACACCTGGCTATTTTTTGGTTGCAGCGTCATTTTGGCGGGCCTGGGCTGGGTTCGAACCCGCCACCTTAGGTGTATGTGGCTTGCGCCTTAGGCACTTGAGCCACAGGCGCCGAGCTACCACAACCCTTTAATACAGTTCCTGTGGGTCTCAACCCACAGGTTGAGAACTGCTGCTCTAGGCTAATTATGAATTAGAGCAGGCCATGGGCTAAATCTCTGTGTACCGTGAATCTGCCATGGGCTAAATCTCTGTGTACACTCAGGAGTGAATTGGGCCATGACTAAGGGGAACTAGAGTACCACTGTCTACATTTTCAAGGGTTATATCTGGAGAACATTTTTAGAACCTCATTCTGGCTATGTTGGAAGATTGTTTTGAAAATAGTTTTAAGGAAAATACTAGATAAGCCCCCACTATCAATCTGAAAATTCACATGTAGATTTAAGTGCTTTTTCTTCATCTAGATGAATTTAAAGGCCACTCGTTGCTGCAGGCTGCGCGGGAAGCTGATGTTACACGGATCAAAAAACATCTCTCTCTGGAAATGGTGAATTTCAAACATCCTCAAACTCATGAAACAGCATTGGTAATGTTTCAGATTTAAGTTGTTTTTTTTTTTTTTTTTTTTTTTTGAGACAGAGCCTCAAGCTATCCCCCTGGGTAGAGTGCCATGGCATCACACTCACAGCAACCTCCAACTCCTGGGCTCAAGCGAGTCTCCTGCTTCAGCCTCCCAAGTAGCTGGGACCACAGGCGCCCGCCACAACGCCTGGCCATTTTTTGGTTGCAGCCATCATTGTTGTTTGGCGGGCCCGGGCTGGGGATTCAAACCTGCCACCTTAGGTGTATGTGGCTGGCGCCTTAGCCGCTTGAGCCACAGGCGCCGAGCCCAGATTTAAGTTTTTAAAATACAATAAAAAACATGCCAAACTAATAATAACGTCCTTTCTCCGTTTAGTAAGAGCATCGTTTTTAAAAATGTATAATTTTTTTAAATTAAATTAATGCCTACACATACATACATTTCAAATACTACAGAAAAATAGACAACCTTGCCCCCTAAAAGGCAATACCGTTATTAGTTTGAGAATCCTTCCAGGAAAAAAAAAATGTATTCTGGTATGTATTACATTACATGTAACATATTTTATGGTAAATGGTACATATCATTTCCCATATTGCAGTTTTCCTCAAAATTAGGCATAAAGTATGAACACAGTATTTTAGAGGTTATTTCCTTGATAGAGGTAATAATAATTGTGGAGCTGTAACAAAGTACATGTGAATAGAGAACTCTAAGGAAAAGCAGTCAAAAGAATGAGAGCTAGTAGGAATAAGTGGTAGGAGATAAGGGAAGAAATGGTGTAATGAGCTGCTACCTCAAAAGTAGAAATTTCCAAGAAAAAAGTCCTATTATGTGAATTGTACAATGTGCTTTGATAATATGTTTAGGAACAGATTTCACTCATGGTAGTCTTACTTACCTAATACCTTGTATGGTAAAATTGCTTCCTTGTGCCATAAGTAAACTCTGTGAAATTTATATAGAAACCCATCTATGAGACATTTTGGACTGTTTTGTTACTTGTCAGAAACATTCAAGTAAAAACAAAAATAGCATAGCTATTAATAAGAAATGCTAGAGCAAAATTGAAACCACAACAGCATTAAAACTATACAGAGAAACTTGGAAAGACTGACATTATGGAAAATTTCCTAGTCCAAAAGCTGATATTACATGATGTTCTTTCCTGAGTATTCTGCTATTAAACAACCTATTCTTGTAATTAATCTTAGAACATACTAGGAGTTAAGTATTGGTTGGTAGTTACGGTGCAGGAGCAGTTTTTTCCAGATTCACAGAGGTCACAGGTGTGGTAGGGTACAGTTTGAGGTGTATGTAATAAAGAACTTTTGGAAATAAACTGCAAGTGTATTTGTTCTCTGTGCTCTTCTGATGGATGTCCTGGGATGATAATCATAGCATATTAAAGAAACTATGTTCACTAATTAGATTTGTTATTATTGAAGGTAAAGAAATTATTTTGGTGATAGAAATATCAGAGAATGTATCTGCAGCAAAGTCATGAGGTTCAGATAGATAAAGCTTATGACTAACAACAGGTTAAAGTCAGAGAACAGATTTCATGTTTACTGTGTAGTTAGATGTATAATTTGCTGAAAAATAATCCAGAACTTTTTATTCATGGATTTTTTTACATTTCCATTGTAACATATACATAGTATTGTAACATATACATAGTGATTTAGTCATTTATCATTCAGACATTATGGAACATCTCTTGTGCGTAAGTATCATCCTAGATGTTGGGGATGCAAAGATGAGGGCTATGACCATAAAATACATATTAGGCAAATGCCTATATCCTGCCTCCGTTTCTCCTTAATACATCATAGGTAGATAATGCAGCCTCAAACTCCAGATTGTATCAGATTTCTACCATGAATTTTGTCAAAACAGAGAATGCAAGCTCTTTATTACGCTGGAGCAGCTAGTTGAGAAACATGTAAAAACTGCTTAGCTTATCAGCTTCCGTCAGTGTGATTCCCAAGCAGAATCCAGAGCTGATGAGTATTTTGTTATTTTGTCATGTAAAGAAACCCCAACCTTTGGGGTGTTTTCTTAACCCTTTAAACATTACATAAACACAAGGCTGTTTGAGAAGAGTGTTCAGAAAGGGATGTTGGTCCCAATAATTTAACTTTTTACCCAGTAGTGGCTTTTTCAAACATACAAGGCAACTATAAAGTTTAAGCTGAATATTTAATAACAAGTCATCTAATAAATAGGATTTTCAGTCTCTGCCAGAATTTGGTAATTACTATACACTATCCAATCAGAAGTCAAGAACAAAGTTAGGTCAAAAATAAAACAAAGAAGTTAAATAACTTCTTGATTGGAAACCCAAATGTTCTTAAGTAAAAATTAGTTATGTATAGTCCTTGATTAATGCTGCAATTTACATCATTTAGCATTGTGCTGCTGCATCTCCATATCCCAAAAGAAAGCAAATATGTGAGCTCTTGCTAAGAAAAGGAGCAAACATCAATGAAAAAACTAAAGAGTAAGTATATATTTAATAATTAAATATTATTGACATTTTATTTTTTGGAAAATATCTTATTGTCTGGCTGACTTTCTCTCTTTAAGATTCTTGACTCCTCTGCACGTGGCATCTGAAAAAGCTCATAATGATGTTGTTGAAGTAGTGGTGAAACATGAAGCAAAGGTATACTTTCTTTTTGGTTATCTTTGGTAATCCAGTGAGTTATTTTTTATTTACCAGATGAAATGCCTGACTTCCTAAACTATTTACTCTCCCATAAGTATTGCATTTTTCTCTTAATCTGCACTTAAAAATAGTCTTGCAAATAACTTTTCCTAAAACCAGTTTTTTGCTAGAAAGTCTATAGGTTTATTCAAATATACCATATTCTTATATGTCCTTTCTCTGTTGACTTTAACCACACTGATCAAAGATACCCTTAAGAGCTTTTTCTAACAGTCCATACTCCAGAATATTCCCAGCTGGAGACATACTGATTCTGACCTATTTTCTTTTCTAGTAGTCTTTTCTCACTTACATCTTCTATTTCTTGATTGCTATGGCTGTTATTTACTCCAGCCAGTTTATCTTTCCCTCTTTTATTTCTGTAACTTAAGTCTAAAAACTTGAGAAAAAGGAAATAAGCTATTTAAATAATTTGACTAAAAACATTATAGCTCCTCACTGTTCTTTAATTGGCTTTTGTGCACAAAGCATTTTATTCATTGAATGATTATGTTTTCATAAAGGCTAGAAATAATTTCTTACCCAGAAACTTTGAAGAAAGCTACTCAGTAAAAGATAGACATAGCATTCCAGATTGGGCGAGATCACATTCACCTAATTCAGCAGTTTTTGAAGTTTTAGCCACAGATCCTTGTCTTCTTCAGAAAAAAATCTTCAGTTGAAATTCAGTGTATTCTATAACAGAGAAAGAATGGAACTGCTCTGGATAAAGGGAGAAGAAAGGAATAGAGACCTTTCCCTTGGGTGGCCCCTGCAGCCCTTCCCTAAATTAGCTTTGCAGAATAGTTTTCTCATCTGTCCTTTCTTGAGTTTCCATTCATTCAAAAAAACCAGTTAGAATTTTCCAGATTTTTTTGTGTTGTCTCTCAGTGTCCTAATTTCTCTTTGATTTGGGGGAATTCTCGATAATGTATGATCTTGATCTTTCCTATTGTAAATTATTAAATAAAATAAAGTTTATTTCCTCTTGACTGCTTGGCATATCTCATTTGTCTCTGTTCTATAACTGTTGTTGATTCCTTTTTTTGTACATGTGGTACATTATTTGAAGATCATCTGAACGCACAGTAGATTTGAATTGTGAAACTCAATGAAACAATCTTGTCTAGGGTAATAAACTGTCTAATTTTGTCCAGGATGTGGGAATTCCCAGAAACACAGAACTTTTGGTGCTAAACCTGGAGAAGTCCTGGGCAAAATAGGACAGGTTGATAACCCTAATCTTAACACAAAGTGGTATCTGAGTAATGTTTTCAAGTGGATGATTTTCACATTTCAGTGAATTTGGATATGTGAATAAATAATTTAATTGCCCTGAGCATTTTTAATAAGCTTTTCAGGTTCTGTGAGAATGAAGACAAGCTATTCAGTTTCAGGTTTTAGGTCATTGAGTAGGTCTAGGCTATACTGCTATTCAAATATTTTCTCATTCCAATGAATATGAATTGGCCAGTGTGTCAAACACTCTGGTGTCCACAGGATTGATTACTGAGGAATTAATTTCTTAGTTATGTTGTGAAGAATTATTCTCATGACAAGGAGGGTGGGGGGTGAGGATGAAATGGGGCAGTCTTATAGGTGATTTTTTTTTATTGTGGAAATTTTCAAAGATACAGCCAAGTTGAAAGAACTTTATAGAGAATAGCTATACACCCACCACTTAAGGTCTATCACTAACATTTTACTATATTGTTTTTTTTTTTTTT